TCCTATAATCAGAATGATCAATATGACTAGAATGGTTCTTCCTATAATCAGAATGATCAATATGACTAGAATGGTTTCTTCCTATAATCAGAATGATCAATATGACTAGAATGGTTCTTCCTATAATCAGAATGATCAATATGACTAGAATGGTTCTTCCTATAATCAGAATGATCAATATGACTAGAATGGTTCTTCCTAATCAGAATGATCAATATGACTAGAATGGTTCTTCCTATAATCAGAATGATCAATATGACTAGAATGGTTCTTCCTATAATCAGAATGATCAATATGACTAGAATGGTTCTTCCTATAATCAGAATGATCAATATGACTAGAATGGTTCTTCCTATAATCAGAATGATCAATATGACTAGAATGGTTCTTCCTATAATCAGAATGATCAATATGACTAGAATGGTTCTTCCTATAATCAGAATGATCAATATGACTAGAATGGTTCTTCCTATAATCAGAATGATCAATATGACTAGAATGGTTCTTCCTATAATCAGAATGATCAATATGACTAGAATGGTTCTTCCTATAATCAGAATGATCAATATCACTAGAATGGTTCTTCCTATAATCAGAATGATCAATATGACTAGAATGGTTCTTCCTATAATCAGAATGATCAATATCACTAGAATGGTTCTTCCTATAATCAGAATAATCAATATCACTAGAATGGTTCTTCCTATAATCAGAATGATCAATATGACTAGAATGGTTCTTCCTATAATCAGAATGATCAATATGACTAGAATGGTTCTTCCTATAACCAGCCTGTCATGATACGACTACTGTATGTGGTATGCAGACTAGGAATATCAGTAGATCAGCTAACCTCTACATCAATCTGTCTGTATGTAGCCTACCAGTCCCTGTGCTGCAACAACTGCCCTCACTGCCTCTATCTCTACCACACAGAATGGGTCTGCCCTTCAGGTCTGCAAGGGAGAGGCAACTAGAGCAAATGGAAGGAAGCAGGTCTAGGTAACAGATTAGAATCCCATCACACACAGTCTACCTGAAACAGGTCTAGGTAACAGATTAGAATCCCATCACACAGTCTACCTGAAACAGGTCTAGGTAACAGATTAGAATCCCATCACACAGTCTACCTGAAACAGGCCTAGGTAACAGATTAGAATCCCATCACACAGTCTACCTGAAACAGGCCTAGGTAACAGATTAGAATCCCATCACACAGTCTGCTAGGAAGGAGTGGTGGCAGACAGACAGACAGACAGGCAGGCAGGCAGACAGACAGACAGACAGACAGACTATATGTCTCTGTGTTTTATTGGCCTGTGTGTTTGATGGGGTGTAACCATGAGGGAGGGTTTGGAAGGAACCAGCACAGGGAGTAGTTAGTAGCTGTCCTGTTGTGTGTGTGTGTGTGTGTGTGTGTGTGTGTGTGTGTGTGCATGCTCTCCAGTGTGTGGGTGTGGTATGTGTTTATGTGGACACGCCCCCCTTGCCCAGTGCAGCAGGCTATGTTGTGGCCTGACCACAGATTATAGGGTCTGTCTGTCTGTCTGCCTGCCTGCCTGCCTGCCTGTCTGCCTGTCTGTCTGCCTGCCTGCCTGTCTGTCTGTCTGTCTGTCTGTCTGTCTGTCTGTCTGTCTGCCTGCCTGCCTGCCTGCCTGCCTGCCTGCTGTGTTTCACCCCTCTATTATCTCAGGGTGGATAGGTTACTACCCTCTCATATGAATTACTCTCCATTCATACTAGGTCTACAGTCTATCATCATAAGAGTGAGGCAAACCAACTAGACAGCCTTATGTCATTGGGGATGAGAATTACTCTCCATTCATGTTTGTCTTTGGCCAGTTTCAACAAAAATTCATGTCTGGTATATATTTAGAGTGGTTTGGTGGCTGCATGCAGACTGAAGGCAGAGAAGCCTGCTGATGACTCATGCAGCACATATCTCTGTGTGACAGGCAGACTCAATCCAACCTACTAGTGGGACGTATGTCTGCGGATTCTGAGCTCTCCTTGAAATGCAGCCAGTATTGGAGCAGAGCTGCCTGCATGGTCACATTGATCACAAAGCCGGGTCGCCTCTTTTTCAACTAAAGTTCTTGGTCATAACACTCTGGCTGGCGGGCTGACTGGCTGTTTGTCTGTCTCTGTCTGTCAGCCTGTTTCTGTTTGTCTGTCTCTTGCTCTGGTAGTGTGTGAATGTGTTTGTGGGAGCTGGTGAACCAGTTTAGCCACCTGTGTGTGTCCCTTCAAAACCCTGCTTCAAAGCTAATTATATAAGACAAACACACATCCAGAGGAAGCTGCGGCAGGGGAAGTTAGAGGCAAGACTGAGACAATCTGAAACCTCTTGAGTCTATGCAGTAGACTACAATTCATTGTCAAACTTTAGCGTGGATGTAATCTCAGTTAACCCAGAACTAAAGTCTCACGTAGTTGGTCATTTGCTCAATTAAGTTCTGGGTCCGTTAATAGAAGAGATAGAATGAGGAGGGGAACCAGAACAAGGAGCTCCACCCTCTCTCTTTACAAGTTATGGGCCAGTCTATGGGCTGAATGTCCCCCGTCTGGAAAATGGAAAGATGCTAACATCTGTGAAGTGGTGATTTGTCCAAATAACCAGAGAGGACCCGAAGCACCCGAACTAGCTCTTTATCTACCGTTGTATCATGACAGATCTACGGCATCGGTTATATTTACGTAGTCTGTCCATCAGAGATTAGCATGGGTGTGTTACTCGTGTGTTTACATGAGAGAGAGAGAGCGCTTCCATGCTAACGCCTGGATTGACTCAAGAGGTTTTGGATTGTGTTGTATGTATTTCCACCAGTTTTGCATTGTATTGTTCTGAATTGCATTGACTTACATAGTGTTGTGTTGTTACTGTTGGTTCCCTGACGGTAATCAGGTAGACTAAACTATATGGGGGATAGATGTCCTGTATTCTGTTCATGTCTACTGGCTAATCTATATGGCCATCAGTCTATTCTCCAGGACCCCTGATGGCCATCAGTCTATTCTCCAGTACCCCTGATGGCCATCAGTCTATTCTCCAGTACCCCTGATGGCCATCAGTCTATTCTCCAGGACCCCTGACCCACAGCACATAGTCTACACTCTCACACCCTAAATGGCCTCACAGATGGATAGTGGTGACACCCTCACACCACAAATGGCCTCACAGATTATTAGTGGTGACACCCTCACACCCTAAATGGCCTCACAGATAGATAGTGGTGACACCCATTCATTCAGTCATTATTTACAATTTCCTCAATTTCCTACTCTCCCTCCTCCACCTCCTCCCCTACCTGTCCTCACCTCCACCTCCACCTCCTCCCCTACCTGTCCTCTCCTCCTCCTCCTCCCCTACCTGTCCTCTCCTCTCCTCCTCCCCTACCTGTCCTCTCCTCTCCTCCATCTCCTCCCCTACCTGTCCTCTCCTCCTCCACCTCCTCCCCTACCTGTCCTCTCCTCTCCTCCACCTCCTCCCCTACCTGTCCTCTCCTCCACCTCCTCCCCTACCTGTCCTCTCCTCCACCTCCTCCCCTACCTGTCCTCTCCTCTCCTCCACCTCCTCCCCTACCTGTCCTCTCCTCCACCTCCTCCCCTACCTGTCCTAACCTCCACCTCCTCCCCTACCTGTCCTCTCCTCCTTCTCCACCTCCTCCCCTACCTGTCCTCTCCTCCACCTCCACCTCCCCCCCTACCTGTCCTCTCCTCCTCCTCCTCCTCATCCCCTACCTGTCCTCTCCTCCACCTCCCCTACCTGTCCTCTCCTCCTCCTCCTCCTCCTCCTCCTCCCCTACCTGTCCTCTCCTCCTCCTCCCCTACCTGTCCTTTCCTCTCCTTTCCTCCTCCTCCACCTCCTCCCCTACCTGTCCCCTCCTCCTCCACCTCCTCCCCTACCTGTCCTCTCCTCCTCCTCCTACTCCACCTCCTCCCCTACCTGTCCTCGTCCTCCCACCTCCCCCCCTCCCCTACCTTTCCCTCTCCTCCTCCTCCTCCTCCTCCTCCTCCTCCTCCTCCTCCTCCTCCCCTACCTGTCCTCATCCTCCACCTCCACCTCCTCCCCTACCTGTCCTCTCCTCCTCCTCCTCCTCCTCCCCTACCTTGTCCTCTCCACCTCCTTCCCTACCTGTCCTCTCCTCCTCCTCCACCTCCTCCCCTACCTGTCCTCTCCTCCTCCTCCTCCACCTCCTCCCCTACCTGTCCTCTCCTCCTCCACCTCCTCCCCTACCTCCTCCACCTCTTCCCCTACCTGTCCTCTCCTCCTCCTCCTCCTCCCCTACCTGTCCTCTCCTCCTCCTCCTCCTCCAATGTCCTGTGTAGTTATTGAAAGGAGGCTGGGCTGGGGTTGTATCAGGTTACCATACAGTATACGGCTGGGCCCTGGTTTAGTGACCACTACAGAGAACCAGAGGGGAGGGGACGGAGGGAGCTTGTAGTCAAGTTAATTTGGAGAGCTCATTCCTTTTCTATCTCTCTCTTTCTCTCAATGAATTCTCTCTCTCTCTCTCTTTCTCTCAATGAATTCTCTCTCTCTCTTTCTCTCAATGAAGTCTCTCTTTCTCTCAATGAATTCTCTCTCTCTCTTTCTCTGAATGAAGTTTCTCTCTCTCTTTCTCTCAATGAATTATCTCACTCTCTTTCTCTCAATGAAGTCTCTCTCTCTCTCTTTCTCTCAATGAAGTCTCTCTCTCTCTTTCTGTCATGCATTTTGTGCATTACTGGAATGGGGATATTTCTCTGCCAGGAATATCTCACTTGATAAGTCAGTGGCCGTGTTCAAGTGTATCAAAACCGTGATTTATGGGTAAATCTTGACTGAATTACTGATCTACAAATAATATTGAGTAGCTATATATGATGGAAGGTGATTTAGAACCCTCAGTCTCAACTTGCCTTAAGAGTCGGTTGCGATGTCAAACACGCCCGCAATCTATCATCACCAGAGTGAGAATCCAGGAACATAAAATCAATAACCTCAAGGAAATGTCATTATGAATAATGATGTTGATAATCTCTCTTCCTCTGTCCCTCCCTCCCTCTCCAGTGACAGCTACATCGTGTGTGTAAAAGCGGTGGTGATGGTGAGGGATGACTCCAGTGGAGGCTGGTTGGCCCAGGACGGGGGGGCTCTGAGCAGGGTGGGAGTCTGCAGAGTCCTGCCCCCCGAGCTGGGGCTTGCCCCCCTGGGTCGCTCCCACTTCCTCATCCACGGAGAACGGCTACGGGACAAACAGGTGGGCAAATACAGACACACACAGACGCATATGAGCATCAGATACACACACCAAACAAATCAAATCAAATCAAATCAAATTTTATTGGTCACATGCGCCGAATACAACAGGTGCAGACATTACAGTGAAATGCTTACTTACAGCCCTTAACCAACAGTGCATTTATTTTAAACAAAAAAGTAAGAATAAAAAAACAACAAAAAAAGTGTTGAGAAAAAAAGAGCAGAAGTAAAATAAAGTGACAGTAGGGAGGCTATATATACAGGGGGGTACCGTTGCAGAGTCAATGTGCGGGGGCACCGGCTAGTTGAGGTAGTTGAGGTAATATGTACATGTGGGTAGAGTTAAAGTGACTATGCATAAATACTTAACAGAGTAGCAGCAGCGTAAAAAGGATGGGGTGGGGGGGCAGTGCAAATAGTCCGGGTAGCCATGATTAGCTGTTCAGGAGTCTTATGGCTTGGGGGTAGAAGCTGTTGAGAAGTCTTTTGGACCTAGACTTGGCACTCCGGTACCGCTTGCCGTGCGGTAGCAGAGAGAACAGTCTATGACTAGGGTGGCTGGAGTCTTTGACAATTTTGAGGGCCTTCCTCTGACAAACCGCCTGGTATAGAGGTCCTGGATGGCAGGAAGCTTTGCCCCAGTGATGTACTGGGCCGTACGCACTACCCTCTGTAGTGCCTTGCGGTCAGAGGCCAAGCAGTTGCCATACCAGGCGGTGATGCAACCAGTCAGGATGCTCTCGATGGTGCAGCTGTAGAATTTTTTGAGGATCTGAGGACCCATGCCAAATCTTTTTAGTCTCCTGAGGGGGAATAGGCTTTGTCGTGCCCTCTTCACGACTGTCTTGGTGTGTTTGGACCATGATAGTTCGTTGGTGATGTGGACACCAAGGAACTTGAAGCTCTCAACCTGTTCCACTACAGCCCCGTCGATGAGAATGGGGGCGTGCTCAGTCCTCTTTTTTTTCCTGTAGTCCACAATCATCTCCTTTGTCTTGGTCACGTTGAGGGAGAGGTTGTTGTCCTGGCACCACACGGCCAGATCTCTGACCTCCTCCCTATAGGCTGTCTCATCGTTGTCGGTGATCAGGCCTACCACTGTTGTGTCGTCGGCAAACTTAATGATGGTGTTGGAGTCGTGCCTGGCCATGCAGTCATGGGTGAACAGAGAGTACAGGAGGGGACTGAGCACGCACCCCTGAGGGGCCCCCGTGTTGAGGATCAGTGTGGCAGATGTGTTGTTACCTACCCTTACCACCTGGGGGCGGCCCGTCAGGAAGTCCAGGATCCAGTTGCAGAGGGAGGTGTTTAGTCCCAGGATCCTTAGCTTAGTGATGAGCTTAGAGGGCACTATGGTGTTGAATGCTGAGCTGTAGTCAATGAATAGCATTCTCACGTAGGTGTTCCTCTTGTCCAGGTGGGAAAGGGCAGTGTGGAGTGCGATAGAGATTGCATCATCTGTGGATCTGTTGGGGCGGTATGCAAATTGGAGTGGGTCTAGGATTTCTGGGATTATGCTGTTGATGTGAGCCATGACCAGTCTTTCAAAGCACTTCATGGCTACAGACGTCAGTGCTACGGGTCGGTAGTCATTTAGGCAGGTTATCTTAGAGTTCTTGGGCACGGGGACTATGGTGGTCTGCTTGAAACATGTTGGTATTACAGACTCAGTCAGGGACATGTTGAAAATGTCAGTGAAGACACTTGCCAGTTGGTCAGCACATGCTCAGAGTACACGTCCTGGTAATCCGTCTGGCCCTGCGGCCTTGTGAATGTTGACCTGCTTAAAAGTCTTACTCACATCGGCTACGGAGAGCGTGATCACATAGTCATCCGGAACAGCTGGTGCTCTCATGCATGCTTCAGTGTTGCTTGCCTCGAAGCGAGCATAGAAGTGGTTTAGCTCGTCTGGTAGGCTTGTGTCACTGGGCAGCTCGCGGCTGTGCTTCCCTTTGTAGTCTGTAATAGTTTTCAAGCCCTGCCACATCAGACGAGCGTCAGAGCCAGTGTAGTATGATTCAATCTTAGACCTGTATTGACTCTTTGCCTGTTTGATGGTTCGTCGGAGGTCATAGCGGGATTTCTTATAAGCGTCCGGGTTAGAGTCCCGTTCCTTGAAAGCGGCAGCTCTACCCTTTAGCTCAGTGCGGATGTTTCCTGTAATCCATGGCTTCTGGTTGGGGTATGTACGTACGGTCACTGTGGGGACGACATCATCGATGCACTTATTGATGAAGCCAGTGACTGATGTGGTGTACTCCTCAATGCTGTCTGAAGAATCCCGGAACATGTTCCAGTCTGTGCTAGCAAAACAGTCCTGTAGCTTAGCATCTGCGTCATCTGACCACTTTTTTATTAACCGAATCACTGGTGCTTCCTGCTTCAGTTTTTGCTTATAAGCAGGAATCAGGAGGATAGAGTTATGGTCAGATTTGCCAAATGGAGGGCGAGGGAGAGCTTTGTATGCGTCTCTGTGTGTGGAGTAAAGGTGGTCTAGAGTTTTTTTTCCCTCTGGTTGCACATTTAACATGCTGGTAGAAATTAGGTAGAACGGATTTAAGTTTCCCTGCATTAAAGTCCCCGGCCACTAGGAGCGCTGCATCTGGATGAGCGTTTTCCTGTTGATTAATGGCCTTGTACAACTCATTCAGTGCAATCTTAATGCCAGCATTGGTTTGTGGTGGTAAATAGACAGCTATGAAAAATATAGATGAAAACTCTCTTGGTAAATAGTGTGGTCTACAGCTTATCATAAGATACTCTACCTCAGGCGAGCAAAACCTCGAGACTTCCTTAGTATTTGATTTTGTGCACCAGCTGTTGTTTACAAATATACACAGACCGCCACCCCCTTGTCTTAACCGGAGTCAGCCGTTCTGTCCTGCCGATGTAGCGTATAGCCTGCTAGCTGAATGTTATCATTGTTGTCGTTCAGCCACGACTCCGTGAAACATAAGATATTACAGTTTTTAATGTCCCGTTGGTAGGATAACCGTAATCTTAAATCGTCCATTTTATTCTCAAAAGCTTGAACGTTGGCTAATAGGATTGATGGGAGAGGCAGTTTACTCGCTCGCCGTCGGATCCTTACAAGGCACCCGGATCTGCGTCCGCGATATCTCCGTCTCTTCCTCACGCGAATGACGGGGATTTGGGCTTTGTCGGGTGTTTGTAGGATATCCTTCGCGGCCGCCTCGTTGAAGAAAAAATCTTCGTCCAATGCGAGGTGAGTAATCGCTGTCCTGATATCCAGAAGCTCTTTTTGGTTATAAGAGACGATGGCAGAAACATTATGTACAAAATAAATTACAAATAACGCGGAAAAACACACATAATAGTACAATTGGTTAGAGGGCTGTAAAACGGCAGCCATCTTCTCCGGCGCACACCAAATACACACACACACACCAAAACACACACACCAAATACACACACCAAAACACACACACTAAAACACACACACACACACACTACAACACACACACACACACTACAACACACACACACACACTACAAAACACACACACACACTACAAAACACACACATACCAAACAGCTCCACAATGGGGTCACACATGTGCTTCAGGTTTGGTCCAAAATAGGTTTTATTGCAACGTCTTCCGTAGTCAAGATGCTATACTATCATTATGACAACTACTACAGTACAATATAGTGTTAAATTGGATTCGTTGTTCTGGTCTCGTCGTGACTGAAATTGGACTTGTTTAAGGTGGTCTCCAATACAACACTGCTAACCAATTATCATGTTGATTGATCGGTCGATTGATTGATTGATCGGTTGATTTATTGTTCGGTTGATTGATTGATCGGTTGATTGATTGATCGGTTGATTGATTGATCGGTTGATTGATTGATCGGTTGATTGATTGTTCGGTTGATTGATTGATCGGTTGATTTATTGTTCGGTTGATTGATTGATCGGTTGTGTGCTTGCCAGGTGATCCTGGAGTGTGCTCTGAGGAAGAACCTTGTGTACACCAAGGCCACGCCCACCTTCCACCATTGGAGGGTGGATGACAGGAGGTGTGGCCTGACGTTCCAGAGGCCTGCTGATGCCCGGGCCTTCGACAGGGGCGTACGGAAAGCCATCGAGGACATGACAGAAGGTAGGGGAACTCTGGAAGGGTCTGGCATGGGCCTTTTTAAAGGAGTAGCATGCTAGCTGCTCCTGTTGACTTCCAGTCATTGTGCTAATGCTAGTTAGCAACTGCTCCAGAAACTACCTTCAACTTCCATCAAACTGCACGCAGAGACATAAAAATGGAATCCATTAGTTATTTTGAAGAAAGGACTTAAATTCCAAAATGTCTAACTATCCCTTTATGATCGCTCACTCTTTAGCTGTCAACAAGTAGTATATTTATTGTGGAGGGCCAAGAATAATGCTCCTTTATAACCCTACCATATATTGTCCAGGTATTCACACTAAATGACCCAATAACAATTGGCACTATCTGGTGCTTGTTTCAATCAATCTTGAAAGCAAAAGGCACTTGATACTTAATAGGGTCGGCAGGTTAGAGCAGTGAGCCAGTAACGGAAAGGTTGCTAGTTCGAATCCCCGAACAAACAAGGTATAAAATCTGTCGATGTGCCCTTGAGCAAGGCACTTAACCCTAATTGCTCCAGGGGGACTGGTCAATGGTGACCCCAATCTCTGAGGGGGTCCTGGCCGTGACCCCAATCTCTGAGGGGGTCTCAGGGGGAGTTGGGACATGCAAGTAACACATTTCAAATTCACACATGTATATTAATATACACTTGTACATGTGTGAAATTTGACAAATATAAGCACCCACCTAATTATTATTATTAATTCAGCTGTAACTATGCGATTGGAAAGTCTATACGTGAAAATGGTGCACAACCTGAGTTAGGGTTAATTTTGACCCTCTTTGCTCCCCGTAGGCTCCACGACGTCCTCCTCAACACTCCAGAATGAGGCTGAACTGGGCGACGATGACGTGTTCACCGTAAGCACAACCTTGCCCATTTAGATGTTTTAGCTGTGTCAGAGATATGGTTATGTTGATGACCATCATTGAATTGCATAAGCCCAGCCCCAAAGCCCTCATCTAGCATAGGTTGCTTAAAAAGGTATCCCTGTGTGTGTGTGTGTGTGTGTGTGTGTGTGTGTGTGTGTGTGTGTGTGTGTGTGTGTGTGTGTGTGTGTGTGTGTGTGTGTGTGTGTGTGTGTGTGTGTGTGTGTGTGTGTGTGTGTGAGTGTGCGTGCGTGCGTGCGTGCGTGCGTGCGTGCGTGCGTGCGTGTGTGCGTGAGTGTGTGTGTGTGTGAGTGTGTGTGTGTGTGTGTGTGAGTGTGTGTGTGTGTGCACGCTACCTACCCCATCCTCCTGACACTGGGAGCAGCAGGCAGGGTCACAAGGTCACTTCCTGTTACCACCTCCACACACACCACCACCACAATCAAACTAACGTTGGCAGCTGCATCCAAGCTTTCTGACAGTGTGATTTACAAGCACTCAGAGAGGGCGGGGCGGGGGGGGGGGGGGGGGTAGAGGAAGTGGCTCATGGCTCATCTTGACTCCAACTGTCTGTCAGAGCTAGATGAATGGGAGCTCTGGTGGTCTGAGTTTACACACACACACACACACACAGACACAGACAACCCCAACCCACCACACACACACACAGACACAAACACACACACACACACACACACACAACCCCAACCCACCACACACACACACAGTTCACACACAAACACACACACACACACACAGATACAGACAACCCCAACCTACCACACACACACACACACCTCTGCACAGGCTGAGGCTCATGTTGACGACCTTTCCTAAAGTTAGCAGCAGTGGTCGGTCCGGTCCGGTCCGGTCCGGTGCGAGGTGGCGTGTCAGACAGAAAGTACTGCTCTGGATTTACCACCCTGTGTACACACACACCCAAAAGACAAGGGGGAGGGGTGGGGTGACAGGGCTAGGAAGCACATTCTTCCTCAATTATTCCTCATGGGCTAGTCTATACTTAACCCAACTCCCCTCACCCCTGCCTCTCGCTGAGGGGACACTATTTAGAGATAGAGATTTTGCTGCCATTCTTCTAGTTTTGAGTCATTTAGCTGCTCTTATGAGGCAGTCAGCTCGGAGAGAGAGGCAAGGAGAGAGAGAGCGAGAGAGCGAGAAGATGAGAAAGAAGGAGACGAAGAAATATATATAGATAGAGAGAGAAATGTAGAGGTCGAGAGAGCTTATCTCTTCTCCTATCTCTTCTCTCTATCTCTCTCTCTCTCTATCTCTTCTCTCTCTCTCTCTCTCTCTCTATCTCTCTCTCTCTCTCTCTCTCTCTCTCTCTATCTCTTGTGGTCTCTGTCTCTGTTCTCTGTCGTCTGTGTGTGTGTGTCTCCTCCCTCCCTGTGTGTCATGGGCTGTGGGAGGGAGGGAGGTTGGAGGGAGGGAGAGTTAAATTTAGTCCAACACTGACCCCCATAAAGCAAACCAATGGTGGGGAAAGAAACCGGTTGAAAAAGCGAAATAAAGTGTCACACACACACTTCCCCCTGGCCTGCTGGTGTGTAGCAACAGACAGACAGACAGACAGACAGACAGACAGACAGACAGACAGACAGACAGACAGACAGACAGACAGACAGACAGACAGACAGACAGACAGACAGACAGACAGACAGACAGGCAGGCAGGCAGGCAGGTCAGAGGGAGTGCGTCTGCGTCCCAAATGGCACCCTATTCCCTATATAGTGGGTCCTGGTCAAAAGTAGTACACTATATAGAGAATAGGGTACCATTTGGAACGCAGGCGGAAAATCATGTCCACCCTGTCAGCCAGTACTCTGTTGCCTGCAAGAACCCCAGAGGCTGTCCACCCTGCCTGCCTGCCTGTCCAAAATATCTGTCTGGGCGCTCAGCAATGTGGAGTCACACACACCACACACACAATGTGTAGAGTCAGCTGGCTGCTGGTCGGCTAGGCCGACTGGCCATGGGTTAGTGTTCGGGCCAAGGTCAGACGGACACAGCACAGACAACAGGGCAGACACACACAGGAAGACCTGGAGGAGTCAGGGGGTGGTGGTAGCCAGGCCCTGGGTAGTGGTCTGCAGAGATGACGTTGGAGGGGAGCATGAGAAGGGGGCAGGAAAATCAGTCACAGGAGGAAGAGTAGGGCTGGAGAGCAGAGAGGGGGGGAGAGAGAGGGGAGATGTGAGAAGAGGGAGGAGCAGGAGGAAGAGAGAGGAGGGGAGAGGGGACAGCAGAGAGGGGAGATGTAGAGAGAGGGAGGGGTGGTGTGTTAAGTGAAGCAGAGAGGGGGATGTAGAGAGAGAGGGGAGGTGGTAGAGTGGGGGAAGCAGAGAGGGGAGATGTAGAGAGAGGGGGGGGGGGTAGAGTGGGGGAAGAGCAGAGAGGGGAGATGAGAGAGAGGGGGGGAGGGGGGAAGCAGAGAGGGGAGATGTAGAAGAGGGGGGGGTAGAGTGGGGGAAGCAGAGAGGGGAGATGTAGAGAGAGAGGGGGGGGGTAGAGTGGGGGAAGTAGAGAGGGGAGATGTAGAGAGAGAGGGGGGGGTAGAGTGGGGGAAGCAGAGAGGGGAGATGTAGAGAGAGAGGGGGGTGGGTAGAGTGGGGGAAGCAGAGAGGGGAGATGTAGAGAGAGAGGGGGGGGGGTAGAGTGGGGGAAGCAGAGGGGGAGATGTAGAGAGAGAAATGCACAGAGGCCTGTCCTGGAACAGCAGAGGTAGATCTGTGTGAAGGGAGAAATAAAGAGAGGCCTTAGAGAAACAGAATCAAAGAGAAAGCTACTTCTCGGTCACTGATGGCCAGTTAAACAACTCAAACAACAATGTAGACGATCTGCTCAAATGTCTTGAATTTAGTACAAACCAAAACTGCCCACCGACACATGCTTGTCCAATCAGAGCTTTACTGACTGACTCTTCTGGTTTGTCTTTTGTCCAATCAGAACGTCACAGACAGCTCGTCTAACTCCTCCTCCGAGAGACTGGAGCCCTGTCTGCAGCCACTGGACTCCTCCCCCCTCGCTGACTCATCCCACCTACACAACAACTACATCCTGGGACACGACCTCCACAAACCCTATAGGTTGTCAGACCACTACTTCCTAGATCTGGTAAGCCAATGGGAGGAGAGTAAGGGATGGGATGTGATGTTGACACTGGATGTGTCTCCCTGACCGAGTCTGTAATACCTACATGTTTTAAGCAGACCACCATAGTCCCTGTGCCCAAGAACACTAAGGTAACCTGCCTAAATGACTACCGACCCGTAGCACTCACGTCTGTAGACATGAACTGCAATTTGCATACCGCCCCAACAGATCCACAGATGACACAATCTCTATTGCATTCCACACTGCCCTTTCCCACTTGGACAAAAGGAACACCTACGTGAGAATGCTGTTCATTGACTACAGCTCAGCGTTCAACACCATAGTGCCCTCAAAGCTCATCACTAAGCTAAGGACCCTGGGACTAAACACCTCCCTCTGCAACTGGATCCTGGACTTCCTGACGAGCCGCCCCCAGGTGGTAAGGGTAGGCAACAACACATCTGCCACGCTGATCCTCAACACGGGGGCCCCTCAGGGGTGCGTGCTCAGTCCCCTCCTGTACTCCCTGTTCACCAACGACTGCATGGCCAAACACGACTCGAACACCATCATTAAGTTTGCTGACGAAACAACAGTGGTAGGCCTGATCACCGACAATGATGAGACAGCCTATAGGGAGGAGGTCAGAGACCTGGCAGTGTGGTGCTAGGACAACCACCTCTCCCTCAATGTGAGTAAGATGCGGACTACAGGAAAATCACCAACAAACTATCATGGTCCAAACACACCAAGACAGTCGTGAAGAGGGCACGACAAAGCCTATTCCCCCTCAGGAGACTGAAAAGATTTGGCATGGGTCCTCAGATCCTCAAAAAGTTATACTGCTGCACCATCGAGAGCGCACCATCGAGAGCCTGGTATGGCAACTGCTCGGTATCCGACCGCTACAGGACCTCTATACCAGGAAGTGTCAGAGGAAGGCCCTAAAATTGGCAAAGACTCCAGCCACTCAAGTCAGACTGTTCTCTCTGCTACCGCACGGCAAGCGGTACCAGAGCGCCAAGTTTAGGTTCAAAAGGCTCCTTAACAGCTTCTACCCCCAAGCCATAAGCCTGCTGAACAATTAATAAAATGGCTACCCGGACTATTTACATTGACCCCCTTTTTTACGCTGCTGCTACTCGCTGTTATGCATAGTCTCTTTAACTCTACCTACATGTACAGATTACCTCAATTACCTGGACTAACCTGTATCCCCGCTCATTGACTCGGTACCAGTACCCCCTGTATATAGCCTCGTTATTGTTAGTTTGTTACTTTTTTTAAATTTAGTTATTAG